TACACGATTTCCTTGGACGTTTTGTAAGGACACCCATGTTAACTTAGATGACCCTGTGATCCAGTTTCAGGATGACCTTGTTTACTCAAGGTTTTTGTTTTCCTTTCCAGAAACACTGCAATTTTGTATATTCCTGATCACTTTCATTGGATACCTCAAATACCCTTGAATTTGCGAAATCCTAGCAGTCATATATCATGTATCCCATGTTTATATATTTGCTATTGTTCCAGAAGATCTAATAACCTAATGTTTTGCCCTTGTGACTATATTTGTTTTTTTGTTTTAGTGAAGTATGAAAATTGTCTGTCTGCTGAGTTCCAGATTTCTTTGTTTGATGGACCTTATGATGTATAGTTACAGGAAAGAACTGTATTGTTATTGTTCTTCAAACCTCAGCACACATGTTATTTATTTCAGTTATAAGTTCTGACAATACAGCCAACGCAAGAGGGGGGATCTTTCTTTCACAGGTTAAATAATACGATGAAAAAAGTGAAACACTTTATCAATGTATTATTAAGCATTTAAGGACCAACTGCTACATTCTAATGCAGCGTTTTCCAAATAGTGTTCCGCGGACAAAATTGAGGTTCTGCAGCGACTTGCCCGATGGGTATTGCTAAACAGGGGTCCAGTCAGGCACCCCGGGCATCTCAGACCACGACCGGATCCCTGTTGTATGTGATGCTGGGAAGAAGTGACAGTACTTCCTCCCAGACAGAGCACGCCAGCTGGAGGGGAGGGAGCGCAGCGGGGAGTGAGCAGCTGCTGACTTGGCACACCATCCTCAGCCAGCAGCCTGCAGCACTGAAGGAAGAAAAAAGGTAAGTTAAACGTGTGTGGGTGTATGTGTACCTGTGTCAGTGTGTGTATCTGCCAATGTGTGAAACTGTGTGTGTATGTGCCAGTTTGTGTATCTGTGTATCAAGGTGTGTGTGTGTCACTGTGTGTGAATATATGTGTGTCAGTGTCTGTGTGTGTCAGTATATCTGTCAGTGTGTGTATGTGCCAGTGTATGTGTGTATGTGTGTCAAGGTGTGTGTATCTGTCAGTATGTGTATCAATGTGTGTCAAGGTGTGCCCCTATGTGTCAATGTGTGTGTATCTGTGTGCCAGATACATATACACACACGCACTGGCACATACAAACACAGATACACACACTGGCACATACAAACACAGATACACACACAAGCACATAGAAACACAGATACACACATTTTGACACACAGATACACATACTTTGATACACAGATTCACACACCTTGACACACAGATACATACACACACAGACAGATACACACTGTGGGTCAAGGTGTGTGTATCTGTGTGTCAAGGTGTGTGTATCTGTGTGCCACTATATGCCAGTGTGTGTATCTGTGTGTCAGATACATACGCACTGACACACAGATGCACACACCTTGACACACAGACACACACCGGCATATACAAACACAGATACAGACACATTGACACACATATACATACATACACACAGATACACACTGTGTGTCAAGGTATGTGTATCTGTATGTCAACGTGTGTGTATCTGCGTGTCAACATGTGTATCTGTGTGTCAGTGTGTGTATCTGTGTGCCACTATGTGCCAGTGTGTGTGTATCTGTCAGATTCATACACACACCCACACAGATACACACACTGGCACATACAAACACACACACACACACACACACAGATACACACAGATACACACTGTGTGTCAAGGTGTGTGTGTATCTGTGTGTCAAAGTGTGTATCTGTGTGCCACTATGTGCCAGTGTGTATCTGTGTGTCAGATACACACACACACACAGATACAAACACTGGCACATACAAACACAGATACACACACCTTGACACACAGATACATACACACACACACACACACACACAGATACACACTGTGTGTCAAGGTGTGTGTATCTGTGTGCCACTATGTGCCAGTGTGTATCTGTGTGTCAGATACACACAAACACACAGATACAAACACTGGCACATACAAATACAGATATACACACCTTGATACACAGACACACACCAGCACATAAAAGTTTATGGAACGGCACACTTTTTTTTTTGGGGGGGGGGGACTTCCACGTAGTTCATACACTATGTCAAAGGGTTCCACAGGAAAATTTAATTGGGAACCCCTGCTCTAATGTCATCAAAACATTGTTGCTATATATGCTAAAATTATCCATTTATATAGATTTGACATCTCTATGTTGGCATACAGTAAGTAACTGAGTTTATCATCCCCAGTTTGGAAAATAATCTTTAAAGAACAGATTTTTAGGATGGCATAGACCAACATTGATCTTTAAGGGGTTAATTAGCCCAAATCACAAGTTGTTATTAAATTAAAATACATGGGTATCCTGGTGGTTTAATAATATTCTGTTTAAAAAATATATATATATGACAAGAGAAAATAAACGCAAAGTAAAAGTAAAATGTCAATTACGTTGGAGATGGAGATGTTTCATTAATTTCCTATATTGTTTTTCATTCCTGTTATTGTTGATCTTATGCCATTTGCAAGTATGTTTTTTCTTTTCTTTGTGGAGAAAAAAAGCAATACAGAATGTACCACATTCTCTCACAACAAAGTCACGATGACGTCAATTGATAGTATAATAAAAACACTGTCATATTAAAAGGGGCTTTGCAATAGAATGTTAGAATGGAAGGTTGATAGAATGATGCATATATATTTATTCACAAGACAAACATCACGTCTATTAAAAAGTTCTTGTATATACAAAGAGCAAGTCAAGGGAGACAAACAAACAAACAACGCAAAGTACAGGTAATTGTAAATGACCAGCCTTGACCAGAGTAAAGATGGACTCATTGAGAAACTGTAGAAATAGAGCTATGGTGTCCTCCACTAATATTGGCACTTTTTATAAAAATGTGAAAAATTGTCTTTATTGTTTGACCTTTTGTTCAAAAACTACACAAAAATGCTGTTGATTTTCTGATGTATGTTTTGGATTTTTGTCCTGCTAGAAGATCCAGTCATGGCCTATTTTATGTTTTCATTTAATATCTGTTGATATTTGATAGAGTCCATGATGTCATGTATCCTAGCAAAATGTCCAGGCTCTCTGGTAGAAAAACAGGCCCAAAACATTAAATAGCCTACACCATATTTAACTGTGAGCATGAGGTACTTTTCCATATGGCTAATTCTCTGTGTGTGCTAAAGCCAGCTATGGTGTTTTTTTATTTTATTTTTACCAAAAAACTCTATTTTGGTTTAATCTGACCATACAACCTGGTCCCATTT